GCGGACCGAAGAGCGCTTCCCGGCCCCCGCCCGCGGTCCGGGGCACGGGGCGAGGGCTGGCGCGGGCGGCCGGGGGACAGGGACAGAAACCCCAACGCAGCAAGGGAAAACGTACCAGACGTGTGCAAATAAGAGTACAGCGACGTTACAGGTTGATGTATAGCTTTACTTCGGTCCACTTCTACAAGTACATCATAAAAGTCTTCAATACTAAAGAGTTTGATTCTCCTACGCTTCTGTCCTGCACTTTCGGTATCCTCCTCTCTCCGTGCTGCCCGTTAGCCTAGTCACTGTACCAGACTCAGGTCCTGCTTTAAAAAACAAACAAACCCCAAAAGAAAAGCGGCCCGGCCCTCCCCCCCCCAAAAAAAAAAAACCCCAACAACCAACCCGGCTTACAAATGCATCGCATTAAGCAGCTTTAAATAAAGACACTACTTTTACAGGTCGTCTAAGTCACTTTACTTCCCTGAGTACAGCTAGACCAAATAAAGAATGCTGAAGGATTAAAGTTACAAGAAAGATGGAAGAACTGCTTTCTGCAAAGCTTGAAAGAGCTGGTCCCGGTAAGAAAGAGTAAGCATGCGCCTTTAAATAAATAAATAAATAAATAAATAAATTCCCAAACTCGGAGGGTGAAAAGAGTACAAGTCCCTTTCCAGTTTAATCATGTCTCCTCCTACTGGCTCTTTGGAACCCGTCTCTATGTATAAAACTAGGAAATACAAAACAGCATTTGCTTTGCTTATAAAATAAAAGCGTTACGGTCCCTAAGCCGGTAGTTCCCTCTCAGATATTTAAATGCAGAGGCCAGGACCTTCTCCCAGCTTTCAGGGCTCACCACGAACACGTAGTGCATGAGTGCGGTATGACAGAGAATACAGCATCTGAAAAAGGGCGAGAAAGAAAACAGTCTTTTTAAGTCTAAGCCTGAATTAGAAATACAAACCTACCAGCCCAATTTTAGCTGTTTAAACTTAAGATTAATGAAAACTCTTGACGTTCACTTAAGACCTATTTTACCAGTATTTATTCCTATACTGGAGGTTATACTCCATAGAACATTGATCACAAGCAGCCGCTGAACAACGCATTCAGTTTATGGATAATATAAAAATACCAGTTGACATAGTCTCTTTTAACAAAGTTGCCCCTAAAAGGTAAGATACACAAAGCCACCTCGAAGTTTCATCACTAAACATAACTATGTTCATATTTTAGAAACCAACTTAAAGAATTCAGACAGACACGTATCTTGAATTTACAAAATTCTACCCTATCATATTGAGGACTATGCTCTAAAGAAAGAAAATTCCTGGGGCAAGAATGATACAAACTAGGTTATTTTCAGAGTTCATATAGAAGTTTTAAGTGTGTGTGTGGGGGGGGAATTATTTCTCTATGCTGAGATAACATTCTAGATACCAAAATGACGTGACGGTAAGTACACCTTTTGGCACGTAAGGTCAGCGACGCCGTCAGAGGAGTGGTTCTCACTGACCGCTGGTAGGCAGCGTGTGGGACTCCCTTTTCCATTCCTTCACTTCTGTTTGTACAAGCAGTTCTGGCATTAACGACTGCGATCAGGCAGCTGCACTAACTTTTTTCTTTCCCCCACCCAAACCCCTTCCATATGCTACTACCAAGTCCAATCTGCTGGAAAACTAATTTGCAAACTTGCTATTTCAGTTGAAATGAGCTGGGTTAGGATAAACCTAAGATTCTAACATATCTCCTATTGAACAACGAGGCCAGGAATCACTAAGTCTTACTAAGCGTGAGAAAGGGAACCAGCAGAGCAGCGGGAGGAAACCTGTAGTGGAGCGTGGGGAAGGAGCGGAGATCACCAAGCGCCTGGTGTTGGAATGAAGGCAGCGATGGTGGGGCTTCCGCCCGCACAGCTGCAGGGAAAAGCAAGGGAAGGGTTGAGAGCTGCTATGGGTCCTTGCGGTCGATACGCGGCCAACCAAGAACGTACACATTTTTCCTGGGGAAACTTTCTCCCCTCTTCTATGCAAGAATTATTTCTTGTCAACAACAGCCACCTCAAACGTTTCAAAAATAGGAGATGTACTGCAATAATCAGAAACTGAGAAGGTTTAATCGATGCGAAGTCTAACATTAAAGCACTTAAAAATTTAAATATGGAAGAACAACAGAAATGTAGCAAAAAGGTCTGGAATGTAAGAATCCTGCACCTCAAGCTTTTCACGCATAAAGAAAACAGAACAAATGTTTTGTTTGTTTTTCTATTTTATAAAGAAAACACACAAAACCCCTTAGGCCCAAGAGTTCACCTGCATTTCATATTCTTAAGTTTACAGTATAGAAGTCACATTAATGATGATAGTACTACCTGTCAGCATAAACTCTCTCTTCACCAGCACCAATATGCCTTTTTAATTGGCAAACATGCTTTTTCACTGGTAACTGGTTCTAGTTGCATGTTAGCAATAATGGAAGTACAGAACATTTAACATCTGTACTCACACCAGTTGTAAAGTTATCAGCCTAGCGACCGTTCGTTACTTTTTTGATGCAACGCTAGCATCTGCCAGATTTTTATAGTGTACAGTATTATTTATAAGCCTGTTGCTATTGTGTCTGATTTCGTACAGCATTAGAGATGTTTGCAATCTGTTCTTGAATGTTGTATGACCTAGGTAGTATTCCATTGCAGCACCCATAACAATAATACTCAACATACTGCTATTAACCTGTTGCGCAGTGTTTTAACATTTTTTTAACTCGTTATATGTAATAAAATACCAGTAAAGACAAAAAATTGCCCCTATAATGAGGCACATTTTGGCATCTGTGCTAAATGCTGCTACATGGGCAGGCAAGTGCAAGTCAAAATATGAAAAGGAGAAAGTCATCATCTAATCACATTCATAACTTTTTCATAGAAAAATATAAATATATTCCCTGAAATGTAGGACAAAGAAGAGCCAGCATCCATTGTGAGTTCTAGTGCTATTACCATAAAAAAAAAAAAAGTGGGCTGGCTTTTCCTTTTAAGGTTACGTTTCGCAATCTACATCATCTAAACCTCTGTCATCGTCGTCGTCGTCACAATCGTCGTATCTCACAGTCCGTCTACCGCCGTTCCGAGTTCTTATCTTAGAACGCCGATTAGCTCTTCTGTATTTGGTGTAATCCAAATCTTCAGAGTCATTTTCTTGGTTAGGTTTCCAACGTTTCCTTCGCTGGGGTCTTCTGGAAGGCTTAGGCGAGTTGGAATTGGTAATTTCTTTTCTAACGATTTCCGATTTCCTTTTCCTCTTTCTTGTTTCTGTGGCATCACTGTAGATACTGTTATCAGTTCCAGAGTCTGAATCAGAAGAACAATTGAAACTGGCTTTTGAACTTCCTGCCATCCCAGGTGCTTCCACATTCTCCGATACTGAGCTTTTTTCATCTTTCTTCCCCCCCATTTCAGATTCTGCTGCTTCTTTGAAGTCATCCAATAATTTTGATCTTTTGAAAGATGCTCTAGATTTTTTATTTGATACTTCTCTGATATTTTTAGTTTCGTGTTTAGCTAAGTCAGAACCTACCTCCTCTTCAGAGTTGCTCGTACGATGGTTGGGGGCTGAAGCTGACTGACCAGAACTTCCCCAGTTTCTCCCGTTTTCCATCTTGTGGTTTGTGGAATTCTCCTCTGAAGAGTCGTATTCGAGATTTTTGAGAGCTGCAGCACAGACTGGTTTGTGTGCCTGCTTGTGGTTATCATCATTCTCCTTTTGCGTCACTTTTATCTCTGCCTCAGATTCTGTTTTTTCGTTCTCAGACTCGCTAATGTATTTCCTTTTAGGAGCAGATGAATCAGGGCAGGAAAGTTTTTTTCTGCCAGAAAGCTGTTCTTTCTCATTTTCAGACTTTAAGCAAGCATCTGTCTCTGAGTTGCCAATCAGTTTCTTCCTGGATGCTGCAGACACATTGCCATGAAGCTGCCTTCTGTTCTTTTTTACTGTGTAAACACTTTCAGAGCTTGATAATTCTTCCTTTGTATTGCTCATTATTTTAATCTTATTAGCTGCCAAGGTGGCACATCTGCGTGGATTTTTCTTCTCAGTCACATTAGACAGCTTTATGTGTTTCTTGTAGTTAATGATGCATGTCCTGCTCCTGAGCACTTTTGCACTTTGTCCAGTCTCCTCAGGTGTTGATTCTACAAAATAAAGATTTAAAAGTTCTTTTTAATAACTGACATTCCTGAAATAATTACTTTATTAAGCACAAACCTACCACCTGTAACAAAATACACAAAAGCTTTTTTTTTTTTTTTTTTTTTTTTTTTTTTTTTTTTTTTTTTTTTTTTTTTTTTTTTTTTTTTTTTTTTTTTTTTTTTTTTTTTTTTTTTTTTTTTTTTTTTTTTTTTTTTTTTTTTTTTTTTTTTTTTTTTTTTTTTTTTTTTTTTTTTTTTTTTTTTTTTTTTTTTTTTTTTTTTTTTTTTTTTTTTTTTTTTTTTTAATTTCAACTGTTATGTGGAATTTACCTTAAGCCTTTACTAAAAATACAGTCAGCCAGTCCCAGGCCTATTTTTA